TCAATGTTTGGTTAATTAAGGTAAGGAACCAACATTTGATTAAGGTTCTAGACACTTATTTTTATTCGCCAACATGGGCGAGTCAGCTTTAGCTTTCACTCGCCCGGCCCGATATTATTTTCACTCGACATATGATTGGCGAGCGGACGAGTGCCAAGCTCGCACGCTGTTTAAACGCTGTCGGGCAGCGTGCAGAATCGCTAGTGTGTCCTAGGCTTAAGCTAGCTGTGCCTGTCACAGGCAGACACGATAACACGCCAAGACGCACATTTGCTATTCAAATTTTTGGCTGGAAATTGTTCCCTGCACACATGTTTTTACGTCTTTTTGGGGACCACGCGGTCGCACTTTTGACACGCAGCGAGCGAGAGAGAGAGAGAGAGAGAGAGAGACCGTGGAGAGTGGAAGAAAGAGAGAGAGAGAGAGAGAGAGAGTCGCACAGCCTCGTTGGGCTAGAATACGTATGCATAATGATGCTCCCAGCAAGCCGTGGTTGGCTATTACACATGGTTTTTACAAATACGGCGGAGCGAGAGATTGCAGGCCCCCTCCTCCCCCCCGCACAGCCTGTGGCGACCAGAATACGTGGACAATACGCTAGCTGCTATAAATATATAGTTATGTGTCAGTGTGCAGCAGCTAGCGTGTGGCGGCCAGCGTGTGACAGTGTGTTGCAGATGAGCATTCCCCCACCTAAGGCCGCCGTAGCCGAGCCGGTGTAGGTGTGACGAAATCTGCGCAATGTTACGCTGCCTGCTATACGGATTCGCGCACCCGCCCTCCTTCGGCGCGCGAATTTGTATAGCGGGCAGCGCGAGATGCTACATACAACACCCCACGGTCGCGTGCGCCCAGTCCCGCGGAAGTGCGCGGCTTAACCGCTCTCGGCGGTCGGGGAACAACGCATCTTTTGCGCAACGCCATCTTGTACCCGGTCTCTCTGGATCAGAGACAGATTGGTGTGCGACGTGTACCTATGATTTCAGATATCATGAAGCCGGGAGTTGGTTCGTCATCATCAGCGGTAGCCTGAGTTAATGTTGGAAGCTGTAAGGAGTAAACAAAGACATACTTTTGGTTACGTAAATAATACGCACATACACTGATACAGTGATACACTGATACAGATAGCTTCAATGTAGTATGCGGATACCATATACTATTATAGCTCTAGTACTACTACTATTAGTATTACTACTAGTACTACTACTAGCTCCTGCTACTAGTACTACTACTACTACTACTACTACTACTAGTACTACTAGCTTGATGACCTTATGGTTATGCCAGTTATGGCAATAGCTTGAAATTTATCAAATCTGATAATGATAGGTCTCACAACTCCGTCTTCGGTATACTAGTCCCTTGGACTTTGAAGAGTTCAGACTATTACTTACGATGCTACGAGGTTATTACGTGAAGTACAAACCTTATCTATGAATGAAATCCTGTCTCTAATTCTTGCTGTATGCATGGCTATTGACGTATAAATTGGCTATTGACGTATAAATGTAGGCATTGGCATGGCATGTATTAACACATCAACATGATAGATAATCTGTTCTTACTTTTACTTAATCCTATCTTCTCATTCATCCTAGGCAAAATTCATGAACCTATGAACAGACAGCACTGATTGAATTACAAAAATAACTACATTATAATTTGCATGTTTACTGCTATTACACTGGAAGCCACCGAAATTCAACCTCGAACGAATCCACGGCTACTCGGTAGTACTCGCCTTCCGACAGCGATCCCACAATACATCGTAGTTTCCGAAGTAGACGACGGAAGTGTACGAAGTATTCCGATTGGCTCGAAACCGACTAGTGCGCCACCCAGTGACTTCCTGGTTGGACATTTTAGTGCATGTATGCAAGTGAAAATTTGCTCAATTTAATGGTCATAACACCTTGGCAGGTGATTTGTTGTGTTGGTTACCTATGATTCTGCTATGTGATCAAACAGGGCATTTTGATTTAATGTCGTGATCAATAAACCCAGTATAGTGGATAGACTTTATGGAGTACATTGACAGTGTACTGTGTAGTTTCCCAAAAGTGAGTCACAAGTTACACTGACTTGGCAGTGACCATTGAATCAGGTGATAGACAGTATGGAGGCTATAGCTAAACACGACTTTCATGCGACAGCAGAAGATGAATTGAGTTTTACGAAAGGATCAATACTGAAGGTAATGGGGCTATGTACTTGTTGTAGTATCTGATCTTATATATTACTAAGTAATAAACTATTACGGGTCACATAGCCACACCCACCATCCTGCACTGTGTACGTAACTGAACCTCAGCATTAGCCACAGGCACTTGGAACGTCTCAATAAATAAAAAAAGGTAAATAAACACGAAATGTATTTACTACCAAAGTCTTAATGTTTCTCTACTCTATTTCGCCTATAATCACCTGTAAATGCCGATCAAATGCTCATCTGCAACACACAAGTACACCGCACGCTAGCTGCTGCACACTAGATACAATAATGTAACCCAAACCCAAGAGGATAGGGGTTTATCCTCTTGGGTTTGTGTTACATTATTGTATCTACTGCACACTGACACATAAATATATAGCAGGTAGGAAAGCGTGCTGCCAAAATTCGCTAGACGCTCGCTTGATTTCATACGAATACAACACAAATATTCAACCATTCTACTCCATCTTTGTTTCTATTTGAAGAACAGTGTTCACTTGTTATAAAAACATACTGTCTGTGTTCGTAACCGAGCTGTGCCACTCGAAATCACACAAAGCCTGACGAAATTCTTGCGTTTGCTCCCGTTGCGCAGTTTATGTAAATGGCTGCAAGTACAGGGCTATAGGCGGCGCACTGCATTTTGGGAAACTACCACGCTGCTTTCCAACTCCCCGTGTGAGCCCCGTCAAAGCCGCCAGTTGAGCGTTGCAAAAACGTTGCAGCGTTGCGCAGAGGTCCCAAGTTAGAAAAATCCAAGAAAGGGAGCACTTGTGATAATGGTCCATCGCGGTTTTTTCGCAGTGCGCAAAAACAGGAAAAAAGTTGTGGCGGGCTGCGATATGTGTTTGTCGCGGCACACCACCATTTTTTATAAAGTATACATGTAAAATTTAATTTATGCAAATTCATGTTAATTTATGGGTTCACATTTATTTATTATTATATGAGTGTATTACACATTGGATCACATTAATGCTTGACATTTGTGGCCTTTTATTGTTTGCTGGAATCAAAGTACATCAACAACAATGGCAAATTTTGTAATTTACTGATGTAAATTTTCATATGGCTGAAAAATGTTACGACCGGGAGCTTCTGGACTCATTCCGGGGCACCGGGAGCAGCGTGTCGTACCGGGAGGATCCCGGTGAGACCGGGACACTTGGGACGTCTGGCGTTGCGGCGCAAAAATGAGGTCACGAAGAGCTCCGGTGGGTGTTTCCTGATTCCGACAGCCATTTACATAAACTGCGCAACGGGAGCGAACGCGAGAATTTCGTCAGGCTTTGTGTGATTTCGCGTGACACAGCTCGGTTACGAACACAGACAGTATGTTTTTATAACAAGTGAACACTGTTCTTCAAATAGAAACAAAGATGGAGTAGAATGGTTTTGTGTTGTATTCGTATGAAGTCGAGCGAATTTTGGCAGCACGCTTTCCTACCTGCTATATATTTATGTGTCAGTGTGCAGCAGCTAGCGTGCGGTGTACTTGTGCGTTGCAGATGAGCATTTGACCGGCATTTACAGGTGATTATAGGCGAAATAGAGTAGAGAAACATTAAGACTTTGGTAGTAAATATATTTCGTGTTTATTGTAATACCATTATTTTTATTGAGACGTTCCAAGTGCCTGTGGCATTAGCCTAGGACTAGGTGCTAAGTGACTAAATCAAGCCTAGTATTAGTAATACTAATGGAATTTAATTAGTTATCTATTAAGTTAGCGTAACTTAACAAATTTTATATCATGATATTATTTCATTATATATTGTGTATTATTTATTATACTAGCGTATTACCGGTGACATGGTGGCATGCCGATGAGTTTAGTACTATTTATCAGACAGTAGTATGGCAAAAGACAAGTGATAGCTAGTTCATCCTAGTTGTGTCGAACATAACAACTACCACATGAACATAAACTTATCATGCTTGTACAATGCATGAAATTAGACAAAATGTGAACAGGCCCACCAAAAATTTTAAACAGTCCCTTAGACAAATTGAACAGGCCCTTAATTTTGTTCAATATATTCCATTATTAATAAAAGTATTACCTTTGTGTTTACGCAGTGGCTATGCGTCCGGTCATCCATTACAAAGCTCAGCACAGATTCCCAAATCCACGTCACGATTAGGCCACACCCCTTTATAAATAGTTGATTTTACTGGATATACTATTGCTTCAAAAGTTACAAAAACACATTTTTTTGATAAAATACCTAAAGTTAAGTAATATTATGGTAAAAACTTATTGTTTATTGTTTTTTTACTGAAAAAATATTGTTGGGTTCACCGGACGCGTAGCCTGGGAGTTGGGCGTCGGGTAACTGGACGCGTAACCACGGTCTTGTATTTATTAGGCATACTCATATTATTTCAGTATATTTCATTGCTATCAGTGGAGTTATACTTTTTTGACAGGAATTGCTGGAACATGATTTACTTCTTAGTAGTCACTAAGTAAAAACTAGTCAGGAAATTAATAAATATCGTGGATATAAAGGCAAGATAGGCAAAATTTTGAAAAGGGCAAGTGGACTGATTATATGGGCGGTTTCAACCGGCGGTCTAGGGGGTTGAACCGGTTGCCACCAGCAAAATAGCGCTAATTTCGCACACTGTTGTAGGAAGATCAAACAATATTTTATTTGTCTGGGATGACAATGACATCACAACCAATAATAATACAGTTAAATTCATTTTAAGATGTTAGTTGATGCATGGAGCATTGAATCATGGTACTAGATCAGGCCTATCTATTTTTATGACGTCATGCTTTATATAGTGTACATATTTGCAGAACTTTGTACCCAGGGTGGGAAATTTAGGTGGGTTACAACTTACAGTAGGTTGATACCTCAATTCACTCTGGGCAATCTCCTAACTGAATCTGAGTTTAAAACCAATGTATCTGCTGACAAGGGTCTCAATATTTGTCGATGTGTAAAACGGTGCCGTTTAGTAATAGGTAAACGTTTGTACTGTCTTTGGTTGTTGTGTATCGTTTCACAGCTTTTATGCATCATGTTATCGTAAGATTTAAATACAAATATGCCTAGAGCTGCATTTTGCAGTATATTGCCACTGTACGTTGTTAACGTCCACCCGATGTCACTGATAACTTTGTATTTTCTTTATCAACGCTTAAAAATAGAGAATATTCATGTATAAAATATGTGAAATTCAAACCTTATGGATTGTTTATGCTAGAAATACCGATCTTATGCTGAACATGGCGTAAACATTTGCCTCACACCTGTTGTGGTTGGTGTAAGAGTAATGTGTAATATCAGGAGTAGATAATTTAGGTTCTCTATTATCTACTCCTGGTAATATCTAACCCACCCAAAGAGCTGCAGGATCGTGCACATGTCGTGTTCGTAGCCTCTTCAGTTTTTAGCTCATCTGACGTAGTCTGGTGCAGCTTGTAGAATCGCATGATTGTCCGTCCGTCCGTCCGTCAACAGTTGGGCACAAATCTTAACCGCTCGACGTACGGTTAAGATATTTGGGACGTGGGGGGGGGAATCCTAAAACGAGTTGGGATGTCGAAGCTGTGGGTCAAAGGTCAAGAGGTGTAAAAGAAGGGGGAACATTCCCTCCTTAACTTAAGATATAGGGAGGAAATGCAGAATTGCGGCACAAATCTAAACGGCTCGACCTAGGCTCGTGATAGTCGGTGTATAGCATCATGGTAGGAAAAGCCATCACTGTGCCGAAATTGGAGGTCACAGGTCAAAGGTCAATGGGGCACAGGGCAGACATTTTCTGAGGACATGGTCTGACGGAGCGATTGAAAAACTTTTTTGTTTCAGCGGTGACCTACCATTTTTATGGCTTTATTGAAAGGACCATGAAATGTACTTTCCGCTGACATGCGAAGAGTAAGTGTCGGATAACCTTTTGACCCTCAAGAAGAGGGTTAAACATGGATTTGTTTACTGTTAGAAAGAATTTGACTGCCGGGTTTGCTAGTAGAATCTATACATGCCTGGATGTATGAGGCTACAATGTCACAGTGAAATTTCAAAAGCTAAATTTGGTTGAAGAAGGTTTACGCTCCTTAAATCGTATAATTTCTATGGCATTCTGTACTGTCAGTGTGTTACATGTAACGTATGCTACTGCCAGTGCATGTGGTGGTGATAGTACTGTGTAGTTTTTGCCTGCGTTAATTAGTTACAGGTGGCAGCTCTCTATTTCAGCCTGTAGGCTTGCGTAGGTAAATGGATGAGTGCTTACCTATTCTGTCTTGCAAATAGTTGTTGCTACTACGTACGATGGGAGCTTCCATCTTTAATCTTAAGACACTTAAACGTACACGCCATCTCGGGGCAACTCATAACGATCCCAACAAACATTCCTTCGAGAAGGTTCCTGATACCATCCCTGTGCCTTCCACTGTTTCGGCGCGTATGTGAACACATTTGGGACTAACAGGGTTTACTAGAATCCCGCCACTCCACCACAGAGTCACCGCAGTAGACGTGAGATGAGCGCTGTCGCTCCGCGGCACTTCTTCTATAATTTCTCCCTTGCAATTACAAAAAGAATTATGCATCATCTGAAAGATCCAAGTGCAATCTGAATGAATTGTGAAAGTGGCGAGTCCTCGCAGCAAAATTAATGCATAGATATACCTACTGTGAGCTCGTCTATCTTGTAAAAATTCACTACAACTCATTTCTATTGCTACTTTCATAACATTTCTTCAGGAAATCTAAACGAAATTACTTCTCTTAAATGAAAGTAGCACCATAGCGATGTTTACACATCCGGGACACAGCCAGCGATCACAATTTTCATTAACAGTTCTTTTCTATGATAAAACAAGTTCTAATTTATTATTCGATGTTTCGGTATACCGGATCGTACCCAGGGTACGTTCCGGCAGTACCCCGGGGGGACATAGACCCTATGGGCTGTTATAACTTGTATTTGTGGCGCCGTTTTCTAATTCCATTTTCGTGTATCTCAGGAGTGTAAGTTTGCTGTTCATATTCTGTATTATTGCCTAACTCAGCACAAACTCATTATAATTTTTTTATGCTAGAGTAATCAGTATTATGTCTGTTATTAGACGAGACCTAATTTGTCTACACGTGTATATTTATTTTTCGATTTATTTGACAGATAATAATTTTAAGTGTGGATATATATATCAAGAGTAGATAATAACACATGTGTTATGTGTAATGTGTTATTATCTACTCTTGATATATGCTATTTCGAAGTCCCTGGGAACAAAATTCATTTTGTATTCATTATCGTTGTTATCTGTTGTTATTATGTATGCAAGGAATAAAACCAATAGAAAACATTCTGTCCTAAGCATAGTAAAACTACTCTACTCTGTGCTATTCTGTGTACAACATCTCGTTGTAAGCATGTTTTTAGAAAGCACGCTGAGACGGGGCGTGATATTCCATGCGTGTACAGCACACGCATAGTTTATCTATTAGTGTGATCGCGTGGTAGAGAGTCTATAGGGTTGAGGACACCACATAGCGAGGGTGAGCAGACTTGGAACTGTACAGGGGGGGATGGTCAACAGAGACATATTTGAATAGCGACAGTTGGAGCTTGGGACCGACCCCAGCTCAGCAGTTTGCTCTGCTGGCCCGGCGATCCATCGCGCTTGTTTATGCTTCACCCCTACACGCGAAGACTGGGTCATAAAAACAAATACTAGCGCTCTTCGATTATCACGAAAATAGTTGCCTGACATACACGTTAACGCCGGCGTGCGTACTACACGTACAGTAACAGCGGCAGACAGTAAGTATGGAATTGCGCAGAACGTAGAACAAATATGTCTCGGCATGCACGACTGCATTCTAAGCACAAAGTGTAATTGATAAGCTGCCAATTAGGTATGTGCGTGCATGCGTGCGTGCATGTGCTGGGCATGTGCGTGCGTGTGTAGTATTGTGTACACGTCTGCATCTTCATAAAGTAAACACATTCATTTACATTATTATATGATTTTGATTCACGATGATGTGTTAGGCTGGCATCTTAAGTTCCGTGTTGCCCTGTCGAAGAGTGCCCGATCATTTGCTCATTAACTTGTCTGGCAATTCTGCCATTAACTGCCTAGCGCCACGAACGGGTTTACACATCGGCCAGCGATTTTTAATGAGAATCAAGGGAAGTCGGAAGCCTTGAAGTTGGAGTGACGGAGGAGGCTGTAATCGGCGTGTGTTCGCAGGTGCTGAGTAAGGATGAGGATGAGAACTGGTACCGGGCCGAGTACAACGGACGCGACGGATTCATACCAAAAAACTACATCGAGATGAAGCCGCATGAGTGAGTACCCCCTCCCACAGCACCACACGCACGCACGCACGCACGCACGCACGCACGCACGCACACACACACACACACACACACACACCCCACACGGCGTCGCAAACGAGCAACACGTGTGTCCACCCCATTCGGAAAAAATGTTGCCGGAAAAGCGGCGAACGCGGGAGAAATCGTCTCTCGTACAGCAAGTCTCGGTTCCCCGCGGCGTCTCTATCACGCGCGTCTGCGCGCGCGCGCGTGCCAAACGCCTCCGCGTCCAAATGTGGAGTAAGTGCCGTCGCTGCCGCGCATAGCAGGCCTATGATGCATTGCGTTTTGAAAGCAGTTTGCGCGTACACGTGTAGACAGGCGCGCGTCATTGCTATCCGTACTACTGTGCGCGCGTCCGCTCCCCTGCGCGTGTGAGCTGGTGGCGCGGGCATGCTGGTCTTCTCGTAGTGCTCACTGTCGTCGTAGAGTGCGGGACGGATTCCATCTTATAAACGTTACGACACAACACTTCTCAAAAGTTCTTACAGTTCCATGGTTGGACGGACGGGAAGGAAGGGGGGGGGGAGGACTGGATCTCTATGGGATTCTCATGTATCAACAGCTGCATCTAGTCGCAAAAGTGAGCAATATAAAGACACATGCATTCGTGGACACCTGGCAAACACTTGGCGCGCACCGCGCACGATAAGAGAGCACTAGTCTATCTAGCACATGAAAAGTCGCAGAGAGAGAGAGCGCGGCTAGATCTATACAGTGAGGAAGACACGGTGCGCGGATCTTATTTCCCAAAACCCGGGCAATTCCCGGCATCGCCGGCGAATCCTTTATCGGAAAGAAGCGTTTCGCACGCGCGCGGCGCACGCGCGCGGGAAGGAAGCTTCCGACGTTGCGCTCACGTTTTGGTTTTTGGCGTCCTTGTTGCAGCTGGTACAAAGGCAAGATGAGTAGACAGGAGGCGGAGAGGTTGCTGATGAAACAGAAGCACGACGGAGCATTCCTCATACGCGCCAGCGAGAGCTCTCCCGGCGATTTCTCGCTCTCGGCCAAGTATGTGCGCCGGCTCGTCTGCTGCGGCGGCGGCGGCGGAATTCGCCGTGAGGCCGCCCTTGGCGAGTTTCTCGTTTGTCAGCCGGCTCCGGCGCTGTCATGCCCGGCTGGAGCGGTTTTATCTGGGGGTTCATTGTAACCGTAGTGCGGATGGCTGCGAATGCAGCGCCACTGCAGCGAATATCAGATTTTGTTTGTAAATTCGGCCCGACGCCGTCCGACGTTCTGGGAGAGCTGGGGTTACTGCAATCGTGTAGTATTGTGAGTAGGAGTGTATGTTTTGCCGGAGGTGGGAATCATGAGAAATCGGCGGCTGCCCCGCGAGTGGCAGTCATGCGGTGGTCAAGGCAGTTAGCTTTACGCGTCTAGACAAGAATTTCCCTATCAGTAGGTGAGATTTTCTACACCCACAGTGGTCTGTCTATAGTTGCGCCTTATCTTCGTTTAGCTGTCAGACGAGCTATTGTAAAAGTATTAAAATGCTGCTACGCTGGGCCCCGGGGCGCGCTGTTGCTGTGTTGCAGCCGATGCTATTATTTACATCTGTATCATTTACGTACATAAAGCTATGTACATCACCACTACCATCCCCTACAATAGCTGGCTGCTTTCCGCCATGTACAGGTCAGCTGTGAATGCAAGGCGGGCGCATCATTACTAAACGTAGTTGTTAGGACGGGATGGGTTATCGCCGAGGGCCTACGACGAACGCAAATTGTGGTGTTCCCCTAAACGCGTTTCGCATCGTTTTGGCAGTGTAGCCGCGGGGCGATGTGTGGGCCGGTGTGTGGGTCGGTACTGGTACTGGTGCTGCCACCGATTGTACGCAGGTTGTGGTGGGGGTGAGGGTGGTGGTGGTAGTGGTGGTGGGGGTGGTGGTGTGGTAGTTGGTAGTGAAGGGGTGCCAGGGGGTGGGGGTGCTGATACCAATTGTGGTGGTGGTGGGGGTAGGTGGGGGTGGTAGTAGTCGGATGTGGGTGGGATGTGGGCCAGTGGTGGCGGGGGCGGGGCGGGGTGTGGGGGTGCGACTGGGGGGGAGGAGGGTCCAGGCATGCACTGTGTTGATGGTGGCGGGGGCGGTCTTCTGTGACTGTGGTAATGGTGCGTGCGGCGGGCTGGCGGCCGCGCCTCGTGTGCGGCGACCACGTGTGGTGAGGTGCTACGAGTTGTGGGGGCCTGGCGGAGTATGGGTGGTGATGATGGTGGCGGGGCTGGGGTCTGTGCGTGTGACGTGTTGATAGTGGTAAGTAGTCCGTGGGGCGGAGGTAGGCGTGTGCGACGGCGCGGGGTTGTGCGCGTTGACTGTGGTGATGGCTGCTGTAAGTAGTCGTGGGGGGCGGAGGTAGGCTGGTGCGGGGGCGGGGTCTGCGCGTTCGCGACTGTGGTGATGTGGTAGTAGTCGTGGCGTGGTGGCGGGGGGTGGGTCTGCGCGTCGCAGCTGGGTGATGTGTAGTAGTCGGGGGGCGGAGGATAGGTGGTGCGGGGGCCGGGGTCTGCGCGTACGTGACTGTGGTGACTGTGGTAGTAAGTCCGTCGGGGGCGGAGGTAAAGGGGGTGGGGGGCGGGGGTCCATGTGGCCCGTGCCGACTGGTGGTGATAGGTCGTACGTACATTAGTCGGAGGGGGGCGCGGCAGGTAGGGTGGTGGCGGGCGGCGGGGTCTGCTGCGTGGCGAACTGGTGGTGACTGCCGGGGTAGTCATCGTCGGGGGGCGGAGGTAGGCGTGGTGGCGGGGCGGGGTCTGTGCTGATGCGACTACGCGTGTCCGAGGGTGGCTAGTGACGCTTGCGGCCGCGGACGGTACGGGGTGTGGCGCGGGTGGGGTGCGGTGGTCTGTGCGTCCGTGACTGTTGGTGATGGTGTCAGTCAGTCGTAGGGGGGGAGGTAGCAGTGGTATTTATGGCCACAACCTGATGGGCGGAGGTCTGACTGGCGTGGGACTGTGGTGACATGGTGGTTGTGGTTGGGGTTCCAGGCCTGCCGAATGAGTGGTGATGGTGTGCGGGGGCGTGCAGTCTAGGTGTCGTGCGAGCTGTGGTGGGATCGTGGTAGCTATGTCGTGGGCGCGAGGGTAGGGTGGTGGCGAGGGGCGGGTCTGTGCATTTGTGAACTGCTGGTGAGATGGATAGTAGTCGTGGGGGCCGGAGGCCTAGGGCTGGTGGCCGGGGCGGCCGGGGTCGTGCGCTGCGACTTGTGGTGATGTGCTAGTAGTTGCGGGGGCCGAGGCTAGGGCTGTGATAGATGTGGCGCCGGCAGGGTCTTGTGCCCTGTGCGACTCGTGCGTGATGGTGGTAGTGGTCGTACGGGGGCGGAGGTAGTGTGGTGTCGGGTGTTGGGGGCACCGGTGCTCCTACATGGCTGGTTCAGAACAAGCCAACGCCCGACGCAGCTTACGCTCCGCCCTGTCGCGCCAGGTTATATTATATCTGCACGAACTGGGGCTGCGGCGCGAGCGACCACATACGTCGCATTGGTATGACCAGCCGACAGCACGTTATGCCAGCAACAATTGGCTTCGGTAACAGGACTACGAGACTCTTCACGGGCGGGGCGTGCGCAACAGACCGGCACGCGCACCCTAGAAGATGCAGAGAGGAGACGCCGATACACGTGCAGTGTTTTGGCGACAAAGATCTGCGCGCGGGCGGAGAAAGGAATTGCGCAGCGTGGATTCCTTAGGCAAGTTTTCATCGCCTTGGTGAACACAGCCATATGTGGCCTCCTAGCTAGCGACAATAAGCCAGAGATCTCGTATGCTGCTTCTGTGATGAATGCAGCTTCTAGTTCAAACCCGTTGATATTAGGCTCAGCAATCCAAATTTACTATGAGAATTAATATATATATATATATAATATATGATATACATATATATATAATATATATAATATGATATATAATAGTAGATATATAATATTATCTAGAGAGAGAGAAGGGAGAGGAGAGACGGAGACGAGAGAGACGAGAGAAGAGAGAGAAGAGAAGGAAAGGAGGGCCGAGGTTAGGGATGGGAAGGAAGGAATGTTGGGAGGGGTGAGGGTGTGAGAGAAAAACAGTGGTTACCCAACAGAGGATGGGCGAGATATATGATCTATAGATAATAGAGAGCAAAATAGAAATAGCAAGATCGAGCGAGTGGAGGAAAGGAGGAGGGAGGAAGGGAGTGAGGGACGCATAAAAGTGAGAAAGAAAGTGACTGGTGAATCGAGGAAGGTAGAGAAACAGACCGGTGACAGGAGAGAAAAAAAGAGTTAAGGACAGCCCGAGGGTTTGTGCATGCATGCGTACACATTTCATCGCATATCATTTCTGAGTTTGCATATTTTCACAGCTGCACATATAAGTTGCACTTATGGTGTGGAATTTTAAAGAGGGTGCAGGTGTGGGTGGGGAAATGACTCACTCTACGAATTGTGTTAGCTAGTATAGGAAAAGTAAGTATAGCTCAGTCACACAATGTCATAGAATTACACATATATTTGAATCCGAGAGCAACGGCGAATGCAACGTTTCCAGATAAAAACTATTAGCACAAACTTTAACAATATATTTTTAACCATAGTTGAAACATTAATATTAGCAGTTAAACTATTAGTTTTCAACGCTGACGTCATCGCCCGTCTGGGCAGCTTTGACTGGCAGGCAAGGGTATCACAAATCGTGAAATCACCTGCGGCGTTCACTCCGAATGTTATTATAATTTTGACGTTCTTATTTGTAAATTATACTGCTTCTCCAGATTTGATCCATCTGTCCAGCACTTCAAGGTACTGCGGGATGCCAATGGCCGCTACTTTCTCTGGGTCGTCAAGTTCAACTCCCTCAATGAGCTTATTGACTATCACAGAAACACGTCAGTCAGTAGAACACAGGAAATCTTCCTTAGAGACATGGACGCTGAGGCTGAGGCGGTAAGTTAAGCAAGAAGTGCGTGTTTGTTTGCGTGTGTGAATGAGAGTGCGTGCGTGCATCCATGAAGTGCACACGTGCGTGCGTGCGTGTGTGCATGTAAGTGTAAGGTTCAACTACTCCTTTCTACTGACGGAACCAATATTTATTATTGTGAGTGTGTACGCATATGCATAACATTTTATTTTCAGGGTAGTATAGCAAATTTTCACTAACAAACTCAATTTATGTGTCATCTGCCTGCGTCATGTAATGTCTTACTTTTTCTTCTGCAGCCAAGAGCCGTACCCAGTTCTGGGAAAAAAGAAACGGTAAGACACTTCTTCATTCTCAGTATTTCGACAAAAAAAAACAGTGATTATGTTAAAGAATGCACGGTCGAACTGGTCTTCATTAATAAGTTAATTGAGATGCATGTAGCAGTCATTTTCATACCAGGGTAACGTTTAATATATGATTCAGGTCAAACATGATGTTTAACACCGTAGTATTCATGCCCGTACATGGAATCATACCGTCCGTGCCTTTTCAAAATGCACGCTTAAACTCGAAACGAACGCCCGCGATGTAGAACGTACACCCAGGGGCGGATCTAGGGGGGGTGTCCAGGGGGTCCGCACCCCACCCTTAATTTTAAAATGCCTACAAAATTTCTCCATATTTTTTTAGGGCTAAGTTTTTCTGATAAAAGATTTACTTATATATATATATTATCATATACAACCATATATAATA